CTCAGATATAAAGATGGTGTAAAGGCACTCTGTGCTGTCAGTTCTCTTAAGTCACACTGCTCCAATCTGGACCAGTATCCTTCTCCAAGGGGTGAAGTCTCCCATCCTGGGCTCTCTTCACAAGCTCTCTGGGGACTGGGCTTCACATCATTCCTGTGCTGAATCTCGTTTCCGGTAATCTGTGCCATGTACACTTCCTTTGGTGGAGCACATCCTCCACAAGCTTCTTTAAAAGGGTGTATAGTGTATGAGAGAGAAGGTTTTTGGAGACCTTGAGTATCTTGAAAATGTTATTATTATTGACATTTTTTAAATAGCTTGGCTAGGTATAGAATTACAGTTTGGAAATAATTTCCTTCAGAAATTTGAAGGCATTGCTTGTCTTTTTGTTTCCAGTGTTTTTGCTGATATGTGCACAGCCACTCTAATTTCTGTTTCCTAAACTTTTTTCCTTTTTCTCTCTGGAAACCTGGAGAATTTTTTCTCCTGGCATAGGGCTCCAATGACAGTATTCTCTATTTCCACCCATTCTCCTGAGTCTAGATAGGCCCTTTCAATCTAGCCCTTCAGTTCTGGAAATTTTGTCTTGAATTATTTATTTGATTCTGTCATCCTGCTTTTTCTGTTGTCTTTTTTTGTGACAGCTGTTTTTCGATGTTGGATTTCATTCTCTTCTTGGTTTCTCTTTGTGCTTTTCATATGAAAATTTATCTTACCCTGTAATTTCAAGTTGAAGCAGTTTTGCCTGTTTTCCATTCTCAATTATGAGAACGTATTGTAACATATAGACCTGGAAAGAAAAGATGTTTTCATTTTAAAGCTTGTAAAACAATATGCTTTCCTGGGAATTCATTCCCATCTTGTGGATTCTGGGATATATCCACTGGAGATCCTTCTCAACAGGCTACTTGTCAGATTATAAACAGAAAGGCTAGTTTCCACTTAATCAGAGAACCCCATTACCCCACCACCACTTCTACTGCCATTTAGATTCAAAATCCCAGTCAGAACGCTGGTATTTTCTTCATCCCTTCATCCCATCAACTACTTGACCCAATCAGCCTTAATAAACGGAGATCCTACACCTGTAAGGACTCCATTCACAACTCCCCATTGGAATTTTTAGGCCCTCATTTTTTTCTTAACGATTTCCTTCTCTTTTAATCCATCCACAAAATATCCTGTGCCATATGATACCCCAACTTTGTGTCCATCAAAATACCAAGAATATATGTGGGAGGTAGTCAATGAACTTATGTCAAAGTGAATTCTCTACAATCCCTGTGCCCAAGTAATCTGGTAAATTTGGGGAGTTCTGTTACATTGACGGTAGTACCCAGGGTCCTAAACAAGGCCAATGCAATCAACAGTGCTTCAAAACTTTTTTTTTTAATTGAGGGTGATCAAAGTGTCAGATTGAGAGATTTTTAAAAATCCCATTGATGATATATCCTAACAAATGAAGGCAGCTTGAGCTCTTAATGTTGAAAATTGCTCTCTATTTACAAATAGATTACTATTTTCCAAGTTAAAAAAAAAAAGCCCTTTATATACATTAACTCATTTAGTCCTCATAACCCCCCACCATGAGAAAGGTACTGCTATCACCCCTATTTCACCAATGAAGAAGCCGGGTACACAGAGGTTAAGCCCCTTGTTCACAGTTACCCCACTAGTAAGTGTATGAGGCCAGATTCAAACCCAGGCAGGCTAGCTGCAGAGCTCAGACCCATGGCCACTAAGATATGCTGCCTCTTATTGATACTGCCCGTGACTATGTGTCTGTGTGTCTGCAGAAACTCTTCATGCAGCCTGCCTTTGTTAAGCATTTCATTCTCTGATCACCCATTCAGGCACTGTGCACAGCAGAGGGAGGCAGCAGCAGACCACAGTGCTAGGGGCTCAGGGCATGTGTCTAGTTCAACAAGGATAAAGGCAATAAGGATGCTGACCAGTTAAAGGGATGCTACACAAGTGAGAGCGGGCAGCCTCATCCTAGTTCGGGGTGTGAGAGGAGAAACGTCCTAAGGAAGTGTTTAAGCTAAAACAAAAGGATGAGCAGGAACTGGCAAGGCAGTGTGGGGGACAAGGAAGACGAGCGAGTGCCAGAGGCAAGGACCCACCCCTGAGAGGTCCTGAGGATGGTCAGAGCACACCCTGAACTTTTTCTACAAAAGCCTCGCTATTCCTGGCTGTCACGTCTCGAGCTGGTTGAGACCTGCTGCCCACTGACCAAGATGACCTGCTGGGCCATGGCACTCCACACCAAGGATTCATTCTTGTCTCCCACAAGCCAGCTGCCCAGCCTGGAAAAGATAAGTGTTTCAGAGGCACAGTTTCATGTAGGCACATCGTGGAATTAAAATTACTTCAGGGATGCCTACAATAAAGCTGAAGGGAACACCCAAAAGGCCATAGGAAGCATGCTTTATTGAGTTTACAATGCAGAAAGTATTTGTAGTTCCTTAGACATTTGCATTGCTATAAAAATTACACTTTATGGTATAATTATTAATGAGTTGAAGAGAAATAAACAGTATAAACAAAATATGGCCTATACCATGGAAATGTAAACCATATAAATCAAAACCATAAAACAATTATTCAATACTCAGAGGCCTACTTAATATATACACATGAAATTTCTTACACACATACACAATAAAAGCCCACAACAACCATCACTCTGAAGCCGATCCCTGTACAAATATGAAAATAAATCTTTATCTTTAACCTCAATTTTATCTTCAGCAAGAGGGTTGTGCGACTTGGGTTTATGAAAATCACATTTAGTATTAAATAATCAAGTGTCACAAACATCATAGAAAGCAGCAAGTGGAAAAAATAAATTATGAAAATGCATGAGGCTAAAAGTTAACAGTGAAAAATGTTATCCAATTTTCTTCTTCATGACGAAATTAAAATATTATCCAATGTGTCAGGATACATAAAAAAGGAGCGTAGTATAAGTGTGATTTTAAAAGCTCTCAAAGGAAAAATTGAGTCAAGATGAGTTACTTGCATAGGACTATGCAAATGTATCAAATTAAGTCTAAGTTAAAAACATTAAATATTTTTGTTCTGACTGAAAATACATTTTAAATTTGAGAACACCTTCATGAAATCAAATGTTGGTAATAATAATTATGATTTCCCACCAATGTGGCTGAAAGAGCTTTAAGTTGCTTTTCTTTAATCAAGATTGCTAACCAGGGCTATAAGTCCCCAATTTGGATTTTGTTGCCAAAATATTTATCCGGGTTCCAACAGTTAAAGAGGATTGCTTCATCTATCAAAGACACCTCTGTAAATTCCCAATCAGTTCAGGTGCCCTGGCCATGCAATCCAGAGGCAAAGACAGGATAATACTTCTGTTCAAAGGCAGACTCTATGTACAGACTGTCAGACAATTATAGAGACACTCTGGGGGAAAATAAATAAAGGCAACACAATAACATGTATACTAACACAGTTTTGTGCAACTGCACCGAACACCTAAACACATGTCCCAAATGTCAACACATACATCTCAGGTCCCTTCTAACCTGGGCTCCATAGATGCCACTGAGCCAAAGAGCAGGGGTGAAACTTCCTCTCACCACGGTACAGAAGTAACCACCACTTCCTCCCACAGTTTGACAATTCCCCAGAAGCACGGCATTATTTCTGGTCAAAAATGTAAACTTTTTTTCTGGGGCCAAAACACATCAAACAGGAAACAGGAATTCATGTAGAGTTGTTCAGGATAGATCCACATTCCAGTAAAAAAGCTAGATGTCTTCCATGGAGAAAAGGCACGCTTTTAAAAGCTAAATAATGTCGTGGCCACTTATAATCTATATGTGTAATGTATCTGATCAATTTTCATGGAAAAAAAAATGAAGCTGGGTAATTTAAGATTTGATCATAAAAATCATAAACAGGAGAAAAATTGCCACAAGAATTAATTCAGGAATGCTTTTAGCTTATTAACACAATAAATAACAGCTATTATTTAAGTGTTTTCAGCAAGCTACTTGGGGCTTGGACCTATATGAACCAAGGTGAGTTCAAATCTCCAGTTGGGAATAACTTAATTGGATCAGGGTGCTGAAAACCAAAACCCAAAAACCAGGCTTCACTGACCCCAACTAGGGTCAGGTGTTGACTCCTTCAGCTCTCAGATACATGTCAATGGGGAAGATGGGAGGCCCTTCAGGTTCCAGGAGAGCAAGGTCAACCAGGTCCTTGGGGAGGATGAGTCACTAGTCACATTAAATAAAGGACTCTGACTCACCTGTCCTAACTGCAGCTCCTCTTTTAAAGATGTTGTTTTCTGAAACCATGCATACCATTTCTTTCACTGTTCATGACTTAAGGAGTGAACGCTGGCAACTAGGGAGTCAGGGGATTTGCATTATATTGGAGATTATGCTTTTAAATCATGGGAAAGTTTGAAATAAGCATGCATATTTTCATTTGGCAGAATGTTAAATCATTCTAAGTACTGGTGTATTTATTTTTAATAAGATATCATTCACATACCATAAAATTCACCCTTTTAAAGTACACAATTCAGTGGTTTTCAGTATATTCGCAAAGTTGTACAACCATTACCACTATCTAATTCCAGAACATTCTCATCATCCACCAAAGAAACCACATATCCATTAGCAGTCACTCCCAATTCCTCCCTCTCCCCAGCCCCTGGCAACAACTCACTGTGTATTTTTTAAGTGAAGAGTGACAACCTTCCAGGGCATTGTATTTTCAGAAGTACGTGGCTTTACATAATTTCATTAGAATTTTTAACATTGAATTTAAACCATGGACTTTATAAGTCTTCTGAGATTATAAAATACCCTCCTTTATATACAGCTATTTTTGTCACAAAAATGTTTTCTTTCTTTATACATAAAAAAATAGATTTTTCTGTCTCCACTGGAGCCTAAAATATCACCATTTTTTCTCAATTAAATTCTGTTCTCGTCTCAGAAGTGAGAAAAATCAATACTCCAATATTTAAAAAGTACAAATAACCAGAGTCCTTACTAACTGTGGGCCGTGGCGCTCTCCCTCCCATCGCTTCAAGTGCTACAGAATCTGAGAGTGTCCAGGCCAGGGCGGCCAGGCCACGCAGCCTACGTTACAGAGAAGGAAACATCTAACGTGGGCTGGGGATGTGTCCAAGACCACAAGGCTAGTCAACAGCAAAGCTAGGAGGATAACCCCCTTTCACTAGTACATGAGTATCGAACGTCTGAAGTAAACGTTGTCATAGATTATACAAAGTCAGCTACCACATGAATCTAAGCGTGTCAGTGAGTTTCTATAGCTTTGATCTGAGCATGTGATTTTTTACCACTTTAAAAACATTTACATGTTATCTTTTAAGACTCTGTAAGGACAAGTATATTTAACCAGAAGGCCCAAATCGTTCATTGAAACATAGCAAAGAGGAGCCGGGGTTTTGGCGGGACCCCAGAGCACAGTTCAGATTCCCACACTGTAACTCTCCATATGACAGTGTCCACAGGATGCAACACTCTATGTAAGAAGCAAACAAGTCACACAAATTCAGTACTCTGGACCCGAAGACTTCATTGGCCAAGGATGTTTGAGATTTAACCATTGCAACAATTCTTCATCTGGATTGACTTTTTGGAATTGGTCCCGCTCAGATTGGTAATGGATTTGCTGTCATCCTCATCAATTCTTTTTTTCACCTCCCTAGAGAGACAGAGAGAGAGAGAGAGGATTACTGAGGTATAAAACAAAACCACAAACGGCTCTGTAGAAATAAAAACAGCACTGCTGAGTGCTTCCGCGTGCCATCCAGACATGGCTCTAAACGCTTCATAGGCACTGACTTATTTAATCTTCACAAGAACCATATGAATTTGTTGTGTCCATTTTATACGTTAGAAAATGAAGGCAAAGAGAGGTTAGGAAATTTCTCTTAGGTCACCCAGCTGGAGAAGTGGCAGAGCTGGGATTCTAACTATGCAGGCTGCTCCTGGGCCTGCTCTGAGCACCAGGCCACGTGCGCACACACAAACACACGTACACACAGAGACACACATGCACCTGTGCATATGCACACACACAGCCTACTCTTGCTCTCTCCTGTGGTTCAGGATGCTCTGTAGTCTGCCACGTGCACAGCTTACTCCTTAACACTCTGGAACCTGGCTTCCATCCCCAACTAATACTTGCTGACCTTAGCAAAAGCAATCATGACTTTATAGCCACTCTTTAATTATACCTGATCGTGGAGATAACAATGAATGGTTAAAATCCAGCAAAAAAAAAAAAAATCTTCCTTTTGCCTCTTCCTAAATTACTTTTAGAATTAACCGCTAGAGGCCACACTGAGAGATCTCCGTGATCTTACGAAAAGCCCCTAGGGAAGTGTCCTTCCCAGTGTAGCCCTGGGGATGCTTGTGAAATATGCAGATCCTAAATCCCACCTTGGATAAGCTGAATGACAATCTCTGCGGAGACAGCTCCCCAAGATGGCCCCAAACAATTCTGCCCTCCCTTGTCAGTGCCTGGTGCACCCCCAACAGGAGATGGAGCTTGTGCCACCCCCAGCTTTGCCACTTAGAAGCTGCGTCACTTAGAGCAAGTTGATTGAGCATTCTAGATCTCAATTTTCTTATCAGTCATAGCATCCTCACATCTCTCCCTTCTGGGAGGTGCAGTGGCCTCTATCAACTACATTTCATATGGCTGCCTGGTCATGTTTCTTGACCAGTGTTAAACTGCACAGCTTGTATTCCCTTGCTAGCTCTCTGGAACCCAATGAGGGGCTTTCACATGCTAAGAGCTCATAATACTGCAGACATTACTGAACCTGAAAGCAAACATTAAGGGGGGAAAATAGATACCCACATCTTTCATCTGGCCCTCAATTTCTTTAATCCACCAAAAAATGCAGGCATATCCCACTTTAAGGAAATCAGAAAGATAAAATTCCCCACCTCTAAAACAGGTTTAAGGCTGGGAAAATTAAATTACCTCACCAAAAACTACCACATCCTTAGCAGCTGCATTTTAATGACTCAGTCTTATGGACGGATTCACATCCAATGGGCTCGGCTCTCGGGCTGAGCTGACATATCAGCTCGAGCTTTTTATGTTTTTCTCAAATATCCGGCCACTGATCAATTAAATGCCTGTTGAACTTGAATCTGTTGCAGAATGTGTAAAGCCTGTGGTTCTCGTGACGGCAGATTTACTTACCAACGGACACTGGTTGTGACAGATGTGCTATCAGAACTATAGGGAGGGGCTGGCCCAGTGGCTCAAGTGGTTGGGTGTGCGCGCTCTGCTGTGGTGGCCTGGGGTTCGCCGGTTCGGATCCCGGGCACGCACCAACGCACCGCTTGGCAAGCCATGCTGTGGCGGCGTCCCATATAAAGTGGAGGAAGGTGGGCATGGATGTTAGCCCAGGGCCAGTCTTCCTCAGCAAAAAGAGGAGGATTGGCAGATGTTAGCTCAGGGCTGATCCTCCTCACAAAAAAAAAAAAAAAAAAAAAAGGAACTATAGGGAAACTGCATTTCTAGGAGGAACTTCTCCTGGGATAGAGAGGTTTTCCAAGAAAAAGCAGAGTAGTTCAGATCGTTATCCAGACATTTACAGCCTCCCTTCCAAAATGAATTCTGTTTCAGGCAGTGCAAATCCACAAACTCTTCTAGTTCAAGTTCCGAGACATGACATGGGGTGAAAGGGCCTGTGCTGGGAATCACCAGATCTAAATCCAGAACTGACACGTTTTGCATTATATGTAACTTTCTAAAGGCTGGGAAACTTTTTTAAATGACAATTTCACTTTGGAGACTATATCATTTTCATTTAAGTCTTAGGTACTTTGACAAACAAACTTGAAGGCAGAGTAGAAAGCAAATTAAAGTCTTTACCTCTCTGCTTTATTTATAATTTTCATACTTATCACTAACATAACTATACTAGAGGCCTCAAACCAGGCCATAATGCAATAACAGCAATAAAAAAACTCCTTGATAAGTGATTTACAAGAAGTGGCCTTATCATCAAAATGCCTTTGTGCACAGGTGTTTGTGCACAGGTGTTTTAAGTAATCGAACACCAGCCTGTGCTCCAGCTGTGGCTCAGCATGCCGGGCAGCAGCAGATGGGGAGAACGGCACAGGTGGTGAGGGCCTCTCCCATCTTTATGATACAATAAAGAGGAAAGATCTGCACTCTGGGTGTGACGCAGCAATTTGGAGTCATTTAATATGACCCCATAAGACGACTCAGCATTAAATAGTGACTATGTTACTCAGTGGAGTATACAGACTGTTATATATAGAATCACACACTGTCAGAACCAGAGAGGACCTTAGAGGTCATTTTCTCAGCCCTCTCCCTCATTTCACAGATTAGAGACGCCTAAAGGAGGACAGGGACTTGTTCAAGACTCCACGGCTATTCAGGGGTAGGTTTCGGATTGGACAGCGAGCCTCCTGACACCACATCCTCCAACATGCTGGGCAGCAGCCGTGACCACGTACAGGGCCTGGCCTGCGGCACCCCTTCCTGCTCGGCTAGAGCAGCAATGCAGCACCCCCACTGCCTCAGGTTAAGGCCCCACCCACCTCCTGTCCAGCTTGGGCCCAACCACTCTGAAGATCTGCAGGTCCTCCCCATGCCCACCTGCCTCAGCAGGCACATCCCTTCCATCCAGGAATCCTCAGGTACATTTTAATGAAACACGAACACGACCACATGAAAAAGTCAATACACCTATCAATTCAGCAACTATTCCATCTTCAGGGCATTTCACTGAATCTTCCCCTCTTGTTTGGCCAAAATGGCTGGTGTTCCTTACGTACTCAAAGGTGCATGGAATCTATTATTTCACCCAACTTATGAAGGTTTGACTCTGGCTCTCATTTGACAAATGTGATATTAGCCCATGATTCTCCTACTAACCACAGACAAAAAACATGGAATTCACTTGAATCTACACAAGTTTAAACGTTTGCCTCTTTTCTACCTGTTTTAAGTCACACTCATAGTGTGCACTGTTTTGGCTTTAAACAAAGATGATTTCCAGTGTGGTGGGGGAGACGGCTCTCTCTGGGACTGATGTCAAAGGAGACAATGTTCAAAGGCTGAGTTCCAGCCCAAGGCATCTGCCAAGCAGGCCACCTGAAGACCTGGGCCTGTTTCCTGACTCTCAGGAGAGGGCCACCGTCTCTCCAAGGCCCAGTCCAAGCATTCTACTCACAGAATTCTATTCTGGAAGCACTAGGAACACCAAGTCATTAACAGAAAAGCAGCATTTTAAAACACTGCAAAGTATTTTCATTGTCAATATATAGTAGCAGAACAGGCCACTTATCATACTAAAGTTAAGATTCTTGTAAAACATCACAAATGATCAGGAAAAGAACCATATGCCTAAAATTATGTTTTTGCTTTATCAGCAATTAGAGATCATTGGCTGGATTTTGTTAACACATTTTGATGTTTTCTTTCTTTTTTTTTTTTTTTTTGGATATTTAATCTCTTTAGGCCAGTAAAGAATCATCTTTTCATTTGCGGCAGAAAGCTAGGCAGAAGAGATAAATCTAACAGATAATGTTATTTCCTAAGAATACTCCAAGGATTAAAACACTCACATTTATATCCAACTTCTCCAATGATGCAATTTTCATTCTAATCTACATCCCAAATATCATTTATTATTAACACCATTGCTTTCGCTTAATAATTACCTGGGTAATAATTTTAACAACGTGCTCCCCACTGGCATGATATACAATTTGCTTTGTTGAGTTTTTTTTTCCCTTTACCTCAGAAAACGTCATAATAGATGGTTATATTCACAATAGTCTCTTGTGTTTAAAATCTGGTTCCTGGAAATGATTCATACAAATCAACTATTAGCTTTGTGGTGACATTTTGCAGAAATGTCAGCGACACCCCAGCTGCATCTGCTTTGTTTGGCAGTAAAGGTATTTTGCCAGTGTTCACAGGGAACAAGCAGTGTTACCAGTTTTTGTAAAATCCATGTTTAATTGTTTCTCTAACCACTAAGGAAAGACATCACGGTGTTTTCCAAGGTACATGCATGCTATGGTCATGAAATTTGACATATTCACCAACTAAGTGAAAAGTCAACCCTACGTTCAGTTTTCCAAATACAAAGCAAAATTTTACCGAGCAAGATGGAGAACAGCTTCCACTACATTTGAACCATCTTTGGCACTTGTTTCACAGAATAATGCCCCGTAGGTCTGTAGAAAAGAAATACACACAATTAAATAAAGGCTTTATTTAAGTTTCCTGCAATGATAGCTTTTAAAATCAATAAATAAAATAAAAATATTTTCTTGTTGAGTATTCTAAGAGTGACTAATACCTAGGAAACTGGATTCAGAGTTTCAGTATTTAAAAAAAAATGACTAGTTTGAGCCTCATTATTCCAGGAACAGTTCCTAGTCAGAAGATTTTTATTTTGCATTAAAAAAAGTACAATACAAAATTTCATGTTTTAAGGTTCTTATTTCCAACAGTGCTACCAAATGCTACCAAATGTTCTCTATCAGATAATTTGAGAGATAAAAGTGACAGCTTATGATAACCACTCATGAATTAAATTGTCCATCAAAAGTACATCTCTTTTTGGCCAGCAGCTAACACACATCCTCCTTCACACTATCATCTCTTCCCATCAAGATTCAGCAGCCTGTATGTTGCTAAAGCCAATAGACATTTTCTAGTCCTCTATTATCCAACCTCCCAGTGGATATGTATGTGATCACTGATCATACCACTCTCCTGCTTCTAATCTTTCAATGCATCCCGTTCCTCTTCAAGCAATGGTCAAATGCTTTACCATGGCCGACAAGGCCTAGCTTGTATGTGGCCCCAGACAACCTCCCAGCTTTACCTGCCACCATTCTCCCTCACTCACAATGCTCCAGTTACCTGGACTTTCCTTCTCTTTCTCCAACGCTCCAAACTCCCTCCCACCTCACGACCTTTGCACCTGCTGTTCCCATTACCTAGATTACCCCCTACCCCTATCAACCCTCTTCTCCAGGCTGACTCCTACCTTCCTTTTGGATTTTTAGGTAATCCTCCCTTGAAGTTAACATTAAGTGTTTTCTAACCCTGCAAAGTCACTATTAGGTCTTCCTATTATAAAACCTCATAGCCACCAGTATTTTTTCTGCATAGTACTTGCCATAACTGTAAGTGATGAAGTTATTTTTGTGTATCTTTCTCTAATAAGCCGGAGACAATTTCCCTTAGAAAAGGGAACTACATGTACTGTGGGCCTGGGTGTCGGTTAAGCAGGCCTCTGTGGGACGAGGGGAGGATGTGAGGGCTTCTCTGGAGCAGGGAGACAGAGAAGAACCAGACAATGAGGAAAGACTCTACAGTGGGACCTTTACTTATGAGCCCCCGAATCCATAGACAACCTACAAAAATCACAAAGTGAACACATTTCTAGTAGAAACAGGTAGTGCTGCTGCTGAGTTCTACAGCCAGGATGTTACAGAGTGAAATAGATGATGCCTTTGAGGATGCAGGAGGGTAGACGTCATGAGATCCATGAGTAAGCAAGCCTCAGGAACTCAGAAATCATGAGGATGGAATAGATCTGGCATGCGGCCAGGAGTTATGAGATCTCTAAGGGGGCATGTGGGACAGAGTCCAGGAAGTGTATCACATGGGCTTAATGTCTGTCTCCCCCAGACCATAAACTACGTGGGGACAAGGACTATCTGTTTTGTTCTCTACTCTTCGCTCAGCACACAATGAAGTGCTTGTCACATGGTGGATAAGATTAAATACGTGTTGAATGAATTTCTTCCGTATTTCATTGCCTCGTTTTGACGTTCATCCCATTTGGTTCACAGTTCTAAAATTTAAAGCAAGAAAAAATTTCCAACTTAAATAGTGAAACTGAAGCTTCTTTTTAAAGTTCACAGGTATATGCTACACAGCAGGCACTTCACAGCGCTCACACAGACAACAATGACAGCAACATCAAAGCGGACCGTCATGGTATGAACTCTCATTCGACCCCAGGAACATCTGATGCCTTGTTCGGGTAAGACAAGTCATAAGAGGGCCACGTAGCATCCTGACACAATGACAATAATGGGAGAATAAACACTGCCCACAATAATAATCTGGACAGGAATGAGCTCCAGCCTCTATACAAAAGCAAACCCAAAAACAATTGTAGACAACTAAGCATAAATTTTAGTGAAAACAACAAGTCTTCCGATTCTCTTCCACCCAGGTGACACTGCATCTTCTTCTACTCCTTGGCATAGTAACCTGCTGGAACCAAACCCATTGTTTCTAAACAGGACACTCATTCTTTTTCCTTCACCTGGATTCCAGGACTAGAGAAGGATTCCAGGAACCAGGTGAGTGAGGAGGAAGACGGGATAATTCTGGCTCCTCTCTGTCAATGTTCCTCAATGGGGTAATGATCATTTTACCTCTATGAGGGATTTAATCCTTAGTGCAATTACTTATAGTCACGAAAGGGTGGGGGAGGGGCCACTGGGAGTTCTGCCTGGATGAGAAGGCCAGAAGCCCATCAAACGGCAAAGGCAGACAAAAGCGAAAGGCCACTGACTCCGAGCCAGTGATCTCCTAGGGTCTATCGCAATGGGACCCACTCTCACTCTTACCATGGCCAGTTTTTCTCCAAAGTATCCTGGGACACATTTTTGTCCCTCTGCGGCAGCAGTGTCACGAAGATCAGCCTTGTTTCCTACCAACATGATAGGAATGCTCTCATGGGTTGCATCCTACCACAAAGAAAAGAGACAAATCGTGCATGCATCAAACATCGGACAAGTTACAACAACAACAGCAGCAGCTCTCATTTTCCAAATGCCCCTTGGGTGCCACATGACATATAGATAATATCTTTAAACCTCAAAGTCTCTAAAAAGAACCCAACTTTTTCCCACTGACAGGTGAGAACATAAATTCAGAGAGGTTAAACGAGAACTTGTAAGGGCCAGAGTCTGACTCCATCACCCTTCCTACCACACAAACCCACATAAACTCTGGAAGCATGACCACAGAATCAAATCTGGCCGTGGTGCCACATAATTTTCTACAACTTTCACTCCAAACAACAGTGATTACAAGTCCACTTCATGATCCCAGAAACAAAACACACAAGTAATCCCTCAGCAATAACGGGACAAAAATGGAGCTTGAAAGTTCCACACTTACTGCTATCTGCTCTACAACAAAAGCAAAACATGCAAGTCCTCAAGGTCGACATTTTCTTATGAGGAGTCAATTACTGATCATCCAAAGTAACGGATTCTGAGGATAATGCTCCCAAATCTCACATGCACACTGCCACACCGTCCCCGCACGCACAGTGGAGCTAGGGATGGACTGTGAGATGTGACAGGCAGAGCTGTCAGAGACCCGCCCCTCCCCCACCTGACCACTCACGGGCTGCGTGAAACCAGGCAAGTCTCTGCATGTTTCTGCCTCAGTTTCCCTATCTGTAAAATGAAGGGTGTAGTAAGGGCACATCCCTCCTCAGCAGGCTATGATGAGAACAAAAGAAGATAACCCAACTAGCACAGAAAAACAGGTTTCTGGTTCTTAAACAAGAGAAGCAGCAGCCCTGACAAAGACATGGGGAAATCACTCTTCACAGCACCCGAAGAGACCGGGTGCTCATTCAGTCTGGTGCTATCCCTGACACAGGCTCAAGAAACGAGCCTTAAAAATAATGAGATTATATTTGACTTCCTTTCTATTCTGACCATTTTCCTCTGATCGAAGGCACCAGAGTGTAGGAAAAGCAAAAGGGAGAAGGGAATGAAAGGCCCTCCCCAAATCTAGACACCCCACCATTAACGTGTTAATTCACTGTGTTCTTTGGCAAACTGCTCAGGAGCCAAGGGGGCATCATTCGAGAGCCATTAATCAAACATTTGCTTAAGGAAGCCAAGCATCCCGAGCGTCCAAATGGCTTCCCACAGTCATGCAGGTAAATACTGCATCTCCTTCCAGTCTTGACCCTTCTGGTGAGGGTCCTTTCCCTACCCTCTTCTTCTTTCTATAACATTCCTATCATTCTATTTACTTATTTCATTTACGTTTGTTGCTTGTTATGTCTCCCCCACTAGAGTACAAGCTGCATAAGGACAGGGCTCTTCGATTTATTAATGGATATACCACAAGCCCTAGAACAGTCCATGCACAGGGTAGGTACCCCGAAATATTTCTGAATGTGTAAAAGTTGGGAAGAGATCTCACATCTCAAGTGTCTTCATTCAACTTTTACCCAAATAATCAATAAATTATTCATGATGGGTAAGTAAATGGCCATAATCTTATTTTATCCATAATTTTATTACAAGATTTTGAAAGCCAATGGTTTTCAAAGTGTATTAATTATTAATGCAGAGGGTCCATTCACCACGGACATTCTACTGCTTCTCAATCCTCTGGCCTATCTCTACGATCACACCATTAGCTTCTACCCTCACTAATGTGGCCATATAAATTATGCCTATAGAATCCTCAAATTAGAAAGGGTGAGCCACGGCAAAGGTTCATTGTGTCCATTTTTTTCTAAGGGGAAAGTCAAATGCCAAGTGGTATTTAATTTTTCTCCATAAAAAATTCAAGAATTCATCTTGAATACAGTTTTCTTCCTTTTCAGACCCTATGGAAGGTGATAAGAATAGCTGAAAAGGTCACTTACCGTGTGCAGGTGCTTAGCAAATTATGACAGTGGGACTCCTGACACATGCCATGGCTGGTCACTAAGGGCTATTTCAACACCATGGCTGAGCACAGTGTGCCTTCTTTTCTTGAGCATAATCCAAAGACTTAATCTGAAGACTAAGGCAAATAGTTTCAATAATAACAAGTTTTGCCATAGATTTTCAATATCTGTGTATATGAGTTAGTTGGGATTATGCGTTATTCTCTGAACTCATTGGTCTCTCCTGGGGAGGTCCATTTGTTCCCCTGAGTAGATGCCTCTCCTCTATGCACTAACTGTACCTTGGAAATTCTTTGTTGACATCAAAAGCATTTTTTCTTAATCTGCTCACTTTATGTGCTTTATCAAAGAAGCTACCAGTGTTGAATCAGGAGGTCCAATTCCCTCTTCCACTTCCAGCCTCTAAACGAGTATAAGCCAGTGTCATACACTTTCTATGCCTCAGTTTTCCCATAAAAGTGAGGATGACATTACATTTCTTATTTCCTTTCTCAGATGTGTTACGGAGATGAATACAACATGTAGAAAGTTTTGTGAAATAAAAATATTACAAAAATGTCAACACACTTTCATTGTATTTATAATAATTTTACATCATGATATTTCAGTTGAACAAAATACACATTTATTTATCATTGCCTAAGTCATATAGCCAATTGCAATCAGTCATTTCTTCTATCACTTCTTTAGTTAGAAAGAGAACATTAATTCTGGTTTTTTCACAGCGTATGAAATAGGCCCAGCTGAAGAACCTAGAGGCTAACTTGTGATCAGATGGCAATCAGTTCTCTGTTTTGCCACCACTGTACTTAATGCCTGTTAAAAATTAAAGTTAATAGAATTACTTGAAAAATTGTATTAGCCACTAGTTTTGATTTTTTTTCCAAGAGAGTATGCTGAACCATAGCTTGAACTGTAGTTTTATGTTGATTAATATCTGCTGGTAGCATACTAACTGTGGTCTAAACTATTTCCTACTTTTAAAAATTATTTACAATGATGGGCCGGCCCTGTGGCTTGGCGGTTAAGTGCGCGCGCTGCGATGCTGGCGGCCCGGGTTCGGATCCCGGGTGCGCATCGAGGCACCACTTCTCCGTTCATCCTGAGGCCGAGTCCCGCATACAGCAACTAGAAGGATGTGCAGCTACGACATACAACTATCCACTGGGGCTTTGGGGGGAAAAAATAAAATAAATAAAATCTTTAAAAAAAAAAAAAAAAAAATTTAAAAAAAAAAAAAAAAAATTATTTACAATGAAACCAAAGGATGTGAAAACTCCTCAGGTGAAAGACTAAAAGAAATTTAACGAAAAGAAAGCACAGATGTTACTATTCATGTTTAAAATACCAACTGGTATCTCAGTGGTACCTTGGGATGTGTAAAGACTCAAATCACTTCCAGAATAAGGTTGAGAAGACAGCTGCTATAGAATGTGGGCCCGGCACCTGCTCACACTCGGGTGGTGTTTCCCCTGCGCTTCCAGCACACATTGCGGAAGCCTCTACCCGAATCTAACTGCACTACACCCCCGCCACACCACCCCCTTGTTTGTAAGAGCTGCTGCTTTTCACTTGCTTTCAACGGGGTTCTGATTTTATCTGTAAGAAAACCCAGAAGTTTTATTCCCAGAAGCTCCCTTTAGCAGCATCCTTGGCTCCGCGGGAACTTGCTCAGCTACTGCGGAAGAGACCAATACTGCCAAGTGCCATCGGGAACTCTGCCCTGACATCCAGTTCCTCCTGAGAGCTGGGATCAATGGTTTCCAATTGTCCATTTCCACTAAGAAGAGAAAGAGCATTTTCCAAGTCGGCCGATAACTCCCCCATGTAATTTTGTGTCTCTGTTTTGATTTCTTACCTCAATCATATCTACCCATTCTCGGACATTAAGGAAGCTTTTCTCACACGTAACATCGTACAGCAGCAAAACACCATCTGCTCTTCTGAAGTAAGACTTGGCAATACTTCTGAATCTGGAAAAGAGAAAGGCACGTAAGTGACGGTCTAATGAGTCAGTCAGTTTGGTGCTGCCTCATTCGTCATCTCTTTTATGCTCGCTTCTTTTCATCTTCTAAAACAACCCCTGATTTAGAAGACTCTAATGGCAACATCTTAGTGTGAAATAGCCATGTCCGAGGCCTAGAAGGACCCAGTGAAAGGTAACAGGATGAGAATCTGGGCTACTGATTTAACAAGCGAATCATTTTCTCTACCAAACAATGCCCAAAAAGTCTACAAACCCCAAAGCACAACCAGGACAAGGTTGAGAGAATAATTTCTAAAAACTTTAGCCTCAGCAGAGGCTACCAGAACGCATGTGTGGGACACAGAGAAAGATGGAAGGAGATGCACGTTAGAGAAAAATTATGTTTTGGGCGGTGGGTGGGGAGTATTACAGGTGGGTGGAAGAAGAACTAACACCGTGAACCACCACAACGTGCCAGAGCCTTTACATACACCCGGCTGTGGGGGGTTCCCTGGGGGAAGAGCAGACCTCAACATAAATGTCCTAACTCTAAACCAACTGCTGTATTTTATAGTATCTTCAATAGGGCCATGTCAATCACAGGTATTTATTAACTGTTGAAACTCCCAGTCTGCTAGAGAATATAAGCTCCCTGTGGGCAGGTATTTGCGTCTGTCCACTGTTGAATCTTAGCACCCTGACTGCTGTCTGGTACAGAGGTGGGCTGGCGCCCCATGCTTATTTGTTGAACAACTGGGGAGATTCTGTTCCCAAAGAATTAGATAACCTATGCTTAAATGCTTCTGGTCATTGGCAATGAAAGCAAGATAAGATACTGTCCCCAGATGCGAGTCTGCTATTCAGTTTGTGCCTCTGCCCTTGAACCCAGGGGGGCTGATGGGTCCTCTTCTCCATCTTTTATTGTGCCCCAGCTAAGGCGCTCCTCACACTGCCACTGAACTGGGGAGTGTGGCCTCAACTGAATTCTCTTGTTAGGAAACAAGTTTTTCCCAAGTGAACACCAGTTCAAAGGAAGCTTAAAGATCTTCTTCTAGCACAACTGATAAATAAGTGAAGGATGTGGCAAAAAGCAAGCATTCTTGAAATTCTAATATACTATCTAATTATATCTAGTAAATTGTAATTATGTAATTATGAGTATAAAAAACACCAAGCGTCCTCCAGGGCCTGTCTGTGCAAACCTAAACAGTGCCCAAAGCATCACGAAGAGCACTTGCCTCTCCTGACCAGCCGTATCCCAGAGCTGCAGAACTGTTCGCTCTCCGTCTACAATGAGAGTTTTCATTTGAAAATCGACTCCTGAAAAGGAACATACGAGATGGCAGAGAACACGATGTGAGTAATGCCATTGGTTTCATTTTCAAGCCCTCTTAGATGACACAAAAGCCAACAAGCCAAAGCTCAGCAAGGCAGAGAGGAATGAGCACGGCCTTCATGGAGAGTGACCTGCACAGACTAATTTGAGTCAGACAACACACGTGCACCCAGATGCACCGTCTGCAGGTCAGCTGACTTGGGGAAGGACTTCATCTATGCACAGAAGGAAAATCTATGTTCTATTTGCTCATGTAGTTAGATGAACTCGATTGTATCTGTGCGTGTGTGTGTGCATGCACGTAAATGACGTAAATGTGTGTATGTGTATATGCGTGTATATGGGTATGTACATGTATATATGCCATGCCCTGCAGCAACTGAACCACATACTGTAGTCTTTCTTTGAATCAAACTGAAGTGAACTTTCAGCTTGGTTATCTTGAAGGATATAATAGAACCATAAATTTACAAAGACACCCATTGTGAAGAGGGTAATCAATCTGTTCTAACATTCCTGGTTAACAAAATAAGAACTCTTTAGAAGAAGAAGAAAAATAAATGATCATTTGCATATCTTCAACTCCTTTTACTGATTATTATGCAAATTTGGGAAATCAGGACACTACTTCTTTCCTTGTTCTGAGAGGTATTACTCATGTGTTTGTTGTGAAGGGGGCAGGGAGCACACATCTGCCTTTGATTTTGACCATAATGACAAACTGGCTGTCAATAATGTCACTTTATCAACACCAAATGACACCTGATCAGAAAGCCTTCCCCTGGCCACCCTGCATAAACTGCTCCTCTCCCCAAACCCCAAACCTCATATTTTTTAATTTGTTTTTTCATCCATTTCCCTCCTTTGTGATGTAAGTTCCTTGTGGCTGCGACTTAGTCGGCTTTGTTCATCGTGTATCCTTAGCGCCTACAACAGTCTCTGGCTCACAGAAGGACTCAGGAACTGTCTGCTGAATAAATGAATCTGTCATCTCAGGCTCTAAACTTGGTTTGGTTGATCTCACCGTCTAAGTAAGAAGATACCTCTGTCCTTTGCCAGTCTTCCTTTCCCAAAGTTGGGCCTTAGCCAAAACAGACGAAGACTATTCTATAGACAAGGACACACACACACACACACCCCTATAAATACATATGTATACAGAGAGAGAGAAGGAGAGAGATCTGTGTAAATAATCCCTAAAGAAAATAAAAGCAAGCTAAAGAAAGTCATTTTCCCATTATCAACTGAAAAAGGAACCATACCCAGGGTGGCACTTGTATTTCCTCGAAATTCATTCTTGCAAAGTCTCATGAGGAAACTAGACTTCCCCACTGCCGCGTCCCCAGCAAGCACAATCTTGTAAGCCTTCTGTGAACTGGAAGATTTATAGTTATCATCCACCATGTCTGTCTAGGGGAAAAAAGTCACAGTGGGTGATAAAGGTAGTGCCAATTTTCTTCCTAATAAGTTATATGGCACAAAAAAATTAACAGTGATCCTAAATAAAAGTGTCTCGGAAACTACCTACCTGCATTGAAAGTGCTGGGATGGGCTTTCTTGAAGAACTAACAGTGCTGCCCTCACTAACAGACCCCTGGGGCTTCCAGTCTAAGACAGAAGCCACATCTTCTGAACCATACGTCTCTTCATCCCTTATATCAGGAACCTGGTTTTTAAAAAAAGTCAGCCATTAAAAAACAAACTCTCTCATTACACATACACATGACAGATTAGACAAATATGCAGCTGAATCTACCTACAGTCAATGCTGTTATGGAATAGAGTCGCCTCAAATTGCAACTGAGGAGAGTTTCTCCCTAACTTGGTGGGGGAAAAAACATTCTACTGACTAGACTTCATATTTAGAACCTTTAAAACATTCCCATGACAGACAGAAGTCAGACAGGATGAGAAGTTTCTGTGAAAGCTAAGGCCTAGGAGGGCAGCGAGTTCGGGGGCTTACATCTGTGTCTGAAGCGTCACCCCCGAAGCTCTCCTGTGTGCCGTGCGACCTCTGAAAGCCTCTCTGGTGCTTGTCCTCTACCTCCGAATCATACTCGTTGGAATCTCTCAGGGTAGACAAGCCACTGTCAAAGCAGCTCTCAGGCAGGCTGTCCACCTCACAGTTCCTCCTCTGCATAGGATCACAGAGGGCCAACGAGTCACAGTCCTCGTCCACGTAGGAAGAGCGGGATGACCTGGTGACAAAGGAGAAAACCACTCTACCTGAGGGCTTGAGGTGCTCAAGACTACACAGGCAACATTCGGACAGCAATGGAATCGAGAAGGCCAACATTCTCACTGTTGCCAAAAGCCACAATGTAGTCCATGATTAAGCATCAGGGGAAATCAGATGTTCAAAGCAGTATCAGTTCATTCTATGCAACAGTCAATTAAGATAAAGATACTCAAAACATTTAATAAATGAAGCTATTTTTTTTAAATCACCTTCTTCATTTCCTGACACAAAAAGAAGTAGAGAGCCCAGGATGTAAATGCAATCTCAAGTTGTGTTAAGAAAAATGTATGTAGAACATGTGAACTTTTTTTACTCTAATGTGGTCAGACCATATTCTAAACAGTTTGTCTATTTCTGGATAACATTTTTACTTAAAGGGATGCCGAGATCCTGGATAGGAAAGGCAACTATGATAACGGGAGACTCAAAACCCTCAGATGTGAGAAATGGTTTAACGTACTCAGCTTGAGGCTCAATGGTTTCTCTCTTCAAATCCTCAAAGAGCTGACACATGAAGAAGAAGAATACATTCTCTCAGGTTGCACAAGACAAAATAAGGGTGACTGGTAAAACTTTTCTGGGGGTGGTCTTTCTAATCAACATGGTGAAAACGACAGGCAATTAGAAATGTGTGGTACTGGAATGGTTTGACATATGAGACGAGTTTTCTGCCACTAAGTGTTGACACATAGTCTGAAAAGACTCCTATGGGAGAGATTTCATAGCAAGGTGCCTCAGATAAAGGCTAGAACTCTTGACTTCTATGGATCTTTCCATTTGTGAAACTCAAACATTTTCTAAGTGAGGGAGCAAACAGGAGAACCAAAAGAAACCACATATTTTTCCTATTCACCTTCGCTTTTCCATTTGATTTTCATAAGAATCTAAGTTTATACTGAAATAAAAACAAGGGCTACAACTTATTTAGTTCCCAGTACACACTGGGCACCATCCTGGCCACTTGGCACACATGATCTCATCCGAAAGGGGGAATGGGTGGGGCACATAGGTCTCCAGATATGAGAAATAATAAGAGATGGATATGCTTAGAAAAGACAGGGTGATCAATACAAATATAAGCCATATAAATCCGAGAAGTCAAAAATATTTTGGTGCCATTAGCAAATGTTTAAAATTAACTAAAAAGGTAATTTAACCACTAAACTCTCTCCAAGTATGTTGCTCAATTATCAAGTCTTGATCCTGGGCCAGGAATTTCATACCATATGTCAATCTATCTACCTAGCTGTGCTTGTGTGTACATTTTTTTGTTTGTTTCATCATTTATGAAATTCTCCTTCAGAAAGTGATTTTAGGTCAATCTGCAAGGAACCTAAGGAAACCATTCTCATTAGAATATACTACAAACTACTTCAGCTCCACATCATTACTGGACAGAACTTTATTATTTTTAACCTATTTGTATTTTTGATAAGGAATGAAGGAGAAGCAAAATCCTGAATTGAGAAATCACCTCCATGAATATCTAGACTCCAAATTAAAAATGTAGGTACAGATCAGACTTTCTCGAACTCAAGTTATACACATACCCTTTTATAAGTAAACTATTCTTATCTGCCCGAAGAATATTTCATTACAATTTATATATAAAAATAGAAAACAAGTTATATTTTGTTAGAGTTCTTAGAAAAACTGCAAAACCAAAACAGATACAGAAGTTAAAATCTAATAAGGCCACAGAAGTCATAAAATTACATGTCCAACACACTTTTAAGTTTTTATATTAGCATCAAGAAGAAAATAAAAGGTTAACTTCTTATATCAAACTAATGACCTCCTAAAAAGGAACATCGGTTCCAGACCACGGTGGCCCTCTAGTCACTGTTCAAGGCCACGAGCACATGGGTGCTACAGTCCCGTCACTCTGAGCCACTGGGACGTGATGACTTTGTCCCTTAGAACCTACTGCTGAGGAGCTCGTAGTCCAGGACTTATAAGCCTTATTCATGGCGCCCTCTCTTTTCAAAAATAAATCATGGTGACATTTCTGAAATAATTTTCAGTTGTGTATCTTTCCCCCATTTGCTTAGAACTGATCTTAAATATCAGCCCAGAAAAATGGCATCACACCCACACATTTTTAAAAAGTACTATCTATTTCTCAATAACAGAGCAGCCAGCTGCCTATGAATCAATAAGCCATTAAAATTTTTTATTTCACAAATCAGTGAACAACAAAAACATCTGATACCTGGATAGAATTTTCTTAGAAGTGATCACTAATAAGCCTGGGTTACCAGACCTTCCTGAAAGGAAACCTGACCAGTTTGCTGTCACCAGGATATTAAGTACATTATTCTTTAGAAAAAGTTCCCCAATGAGAAGGGAACAAACATGAACTGGAAAGTTGCATCAGAAACAGAGAGCTGGAAATCTAGTTTATGCACTCACTTCTCCTTTCAACCTTTGACATGCTCTAAAATTACCTGGTTAAGTAACAACACTGGTCACATGTGTATGTACACACATGCACACACATGTAATCTTTAAGTTTTTATTGATGGACCTCAAGTTACAGCAGGGCCAATATTTCACTTCATTTGATTAAAAATAGAGCTAAATTCTCACTTCTGGTAAGCCTCTCTGACTCCTTCAATACAGTAGCTCACAAACATCTACTAGCCATATTTCTATTTGTTTTGGAAGTTTCCTTTGCCTTGAACATAGCTTACATATTATGCTGAGCTATGAAACATTTACAGATCCTGTCAAGAGTCTCAACATCATATACCACACATATCACAACATCACAGACTGGGGTCCACTGCTTTCCCTGAAACACCTCTTACTGAGTCCACTTCTAAGAAACACGACAGGAGTGGGGATGAGGTAAGGGTGAGTTCATACAAAACCAAGTCACAACAACACCTTCAGGAAATCACTCTGCCCTCTCTGAAACATTTTTACTTTTAATTTTTACACGTTTCCTGCTTCAGAAATTTAAAATTTAAAATAAGATAGTAGAAAATAGAAATTAGTACCCAAAATATATTCTATTATTTTAATTCACCTTGAAGGAAATTTACTTTCCTTTTAACTTTGATCCTGAATTCAAACAAAAAGTAAGTAGGTGTGAACATACCTGTCATAGCCCAGAGGTTGAGGAGAATGACCATTAAATTTGAGACTGCTTCTACAAAGTGTATTTCCTGGTGATACATTATTTATGCGCTGTAATACATAAGTAATCTTTTGTTATTCCATGTAAATATTATATACACATTTTTTTAAAACTGTAGCACACTATTTAACGTCTGAGATCATTGAAAGTTTGGGATGCTACATGAGCAAATGTGAGCATGAAAATCAAGGGAAAAATTGCAACAAGATAACTGCCCAGAATACCCTCCCCTCATCATATTTTAAGTCCAAACCCTACTGCATAAGCCATAAAGGAACAATAAAGGAGCACCCCGGTTCCCCAGATTTGCCAGGACCCTGCAATACCAACTACTTTGGATTTGTCTCTTCTCAAACCATAATTTGGCTTAGTGACTCACTCGTCCACACCAAAACTTCGGTACTGGACCCCACACTTGAAGCTGATGCCCCAAATTGGGAGGAGAGGTTTTATGCATGTGCACTCTGGAGAAGGTCCTCAAAATTCCAAACAAGGCATAGCTTTTCTACATTTCTGTAGAAGGGTTTAAAACCCAAGGGCTCCTCTCTGATAATCTCTATCACAAAGGATACTCAATGTGTCTAAACACACTCCTCAGCCAGAAGCACCCTCTCCCTACTCTCCACTGGTCAATATTTTATTTGTGCCTCCGTGTGATTTCCCACTTTTTCTTATATTATTGTTATCCGTGCACATCTTAACTCCCTACTACCTTATAAACTCTCCCAGGACACAGGTAAATCTGTCACATCTTTCTCTGGTTTCTTAGAACAACTAACAAAAGAGCTAATAAACATCGAGGCATTTATTTCTACAGAGAAGTAACTTATTTTTTAATTTGGAAAATTGTTGCTTCCTTTATATCATATGGAAGAGCTTATTATTATTATTATTATTATAAGGATCTACAGGAAATTCTCCTCTAAGAAAACACAAGATTTTCATCACAACACTCTCCCACAAGAGAGAACAGAACGTGTTAGGAAATTGGTCACATACCAAGGACCTGTTGAACTTGCTATAACTGTTTTCGAGAGCGCTCCTCAGGCCGTCGTTACTGTCATGCAGTTTCCTGTTGGCTTTTCTACAGAGTAAATAAACAAAACAAATAAATAGGTAAGGAAAGTATGAGTGGGGGTAAACGTCACCACCTCCTTTTCAGGCTGTGATGTTCAGAACACGGAATTACCACCTCCTGCAACTTTCTACCACTTCCCTTCAAACCTCGTAAACTGAGATCATAATTCATTACTAGAACTACAACTTAATTGAAGGATCACCTCTCTTTAAAGGTCTCAAGGCATTTGAGGAAGGAACTAGCTATGCTGTGGAACCCACTTCTCCTAGGGAGAAGTTGTTTGAATAGGTTTCCTGCAGGTCTCTGCTCCCTAAATACCTGACCACGGCCAGCCCCACGTGCTATGCTCTCGCCCCCTCATGCGTCCCAGCCAGGCGTGGATGTGATGTGTTATATCACGCTTCTTTCTCCCGGCTACCCCTGCATCCTACTCATGGCCTGGTGCTGTCACACCAGGCACTATCGTGTACCAGTTAAAGGCTCCAATGTTGGCTCTGGGTTCAAAACCTAACTCAGGCACGTACTTTCCATATGGCCTACGGAAGTCACTTAACCTGTGGGAGTCTCAGCAACCTCTCCCATAAATTAGGATAATAAAGAGCCTCTGCCTCAGAGAGTGGCTGATCCTTCCCTACTTAAGGTCTACTCATCCTTCAGATCTCAGCTCAATCATTGCTTCCACCAGGAAGACTTCCTGGACCTTCTGGTCTGACAAAACTCTCTACTATATGCTATTGGGGGACATGTGCCTTCCCTTTGTCCCACCTCTCTCTCTTGGCATTTTGTGTTTATTTCTGTAATTATTGATCAGTTTCCGCCTTCTTCCCCTAGACTAGCCCCAAGAGGAGAAAGACTTTTTCCTCCTACTTTCCACTCTATCCTCAGCTCCCAGCATACTTGACTCATAAAAGGTGCTGAATGAAAATCTGCTGAATGAATAAATGAACGAAGGAAAAGGATTACTATAATCTGTCAACTCTATAATTGTTACAGGTGAGACTTAATAAGCATCCAAAAATGGTGACAAAAAATTGTCAAGCCTGACCTTACTTCATTTGGGGGAACTGAAGCCAGAAAAAATACTGTACGGGCAGAAAAGAGAGAAAGGGCGGGGCAGGGGCAGGTTTCGTGGGGAAGGCCCTCAGAGGCTGGAATTACCGCAACTCAGTTGTGAAACTGACAGAGCAGGTATAATAGTTCCAATACGGTTCAAAAAAACACCCTAAGAAAAATATACTTCTAACCCTCACAATAAATTGCAAAAGAATGATCGTGTACGCCTGGTGCAATGACATGTACAACCATGGGGTGGGACGCCTGACAAGCTCTGTGTGCTGAGCTGCAGAGGAAGACACTGAAGTCAGAGCCGTGAGTCTTTACAGAGTTACAATAAAGACACGCTGGACATAGGACCTGACTTGCGAGGACTTTTAGAGAATTATACTCTAGTCCCTGGATCTGAATAGTTTATTTAGGACTAGAAGCGTCAGAAAGCTAAGTGTATATGCTGAACGCACCATGGTGAGAAGAAACACGTGTGGACCCGTGACCCCGTCTTTAGAATATGGCACCTCGTGTTATACGTGGCAAGTGTTTTATTAACAAAGAACAAGTAGAATGTAAATGTAATGAGCATTTTACATGAGAACTTACTGGAGTATTTCAATTTGCCTCTCAAGACTATTTCGATCTTCTGTGTACTCTCGGATTATTTCCAGATCCCTGTAAAATTACATTTTATGTTTGAATGAGAATTAGGTGTTCAGCCCCCCTTACCTATACCTACTGTCCCAGACCCCTGTTCACCTTGGTCAAAGATGTGTGTCCTTGAGCAGAGTATTCTATCTCACCATGCTCCTGCTCGGTTCCTCTGTGCCGTCAGCAGCCTCCCCTCGTCCTGCCACTCCACAAGCAAACCTACCCCCTCCACTTCCTTGTGCAAGGTTCTGCTCCACCTCACCCCCTCAACCCCCACCAGCTCTTCCATCCCCACCCCACTGACCTGGCTCTGTACTGGGAATGACCCTGACCTTCTGCCAAGCACCCTCCCCCCAGGCACTCACAGTACCAGTCCCTTCAATCCAATTCACTCTCACCTCTGACCCTTCTCTGCTCATTCCAAGCCTTATACTATCCCAACCCCAGCTATTTTCTCCTTTCCTGTGGTTTTCTCGTCTCCTTGCCCCTTCTCTCCTCACCCTAAACCACAGAGGAATCCACGGACCAGGCTCTCTCGGTTCACTACAAATTCACACTCACTGATTCCTCTGTTGCTTTATTACGAAGCCCTGGCCCGCTCCTCAGGATGTCCACTCAAAGCAGTAGCCACTCACCTCCAGCCCCTACTCGACCCCAGCCCCATTTCTAAGCACACAAACCCCATCACTAGCTTCCAAAAACTCTAAGGCTATCAAGTTTGTCTAAGAACCTGTCCATTCGCCCTCTTGATGATAAAGCTAAAAGCTTCCCAATTGTCTACAAAAATTTAAGTCTCTTAGCCAAAAATTCTGGGCCCTTACATCATAGCCTTACACTAGCTTTTAAACTTTTAAACTTTTTAATTTTTTTTTAACTTTTGCCTTTTAATTCAAAATATCTTTTTCTGTCTGTGATCTGACCACTGTTCCCCAAACCAGTCTTATCCTTTCCTATGTTCTTGCCCCTTCCACAGTTTCTGCCGCACATGGAACATTTCTGAGACTCTCTTTCCTGTCTATGAAATGGGGATAATGAAGGTACCTATCTCACAGGATATCCTGTGGGGTGAATGACTTCATGTTAGTGAAGTACTAAGGACATTGCCTGGCAGACGGCAGTGCTACCTGCCTTACCTGCTGATGCTACCTCTGCTCCCCCGACTCACACAACCCATCCTTCCTCCCAAGCCCACCTCTAGTGTCTCCTCTTTAGTAACGTTCTTCACCTCTTCTGAACTAAAGGAACACTTCATCTGCAGTCACATGGCAATGAACCCAACCCGTGACACTGCTGGTGGTATTGTTTCTGACACTGTTTAGTTCTTATGTTGTTTAACTCCATACCTTTTAGATTTTTATTTTCCAAACTAAATTTGAAGTTCTCAAGAGCAGAGACCACATCTTTTCTCTTTTATATACTCCACACTCTTAACTCCTTATCTAGCTCACGGCCCTGCATACAGAAGTACTTAATAAATGTCTCATTGCTTTCCATTACAGGACCTTAATTCTGATTGAAGTTTGGAAACAAACAAAAGACAAGATATTTTTCCCAAGTGTACATGCACTAGGGGATATATACATACACAAATGCATATGTATGCATTTGATATTTACATGTTCCTATACAAATATCCATGTTTATATCCCTCATATATGAGTACATGCCTCTCTGCGTGTGTTAGGTCTTATGTTACTAATACCATACTGCAAAACTAAAGCAAAGTAAACTGACTTACCTAAGATGTCTACTGTTCCCTTTTCTTATGGTGTATGACCAAGATTCCTACCTTCAAAGCACTTTAATTTGCATGCTTGACACTTTCGGTTTGTTCTTCTGCTCCCAGTTAATTCAAACATTTATTAAGCCCTGCACTGTCCTACACAGCCAATAATTAAGCTAATTAATCTGTTTGTTTAATAAAATCAAAAACACAAAAATCACTAGGAAATCTGATATTGAAAGTAAAATCTTTAGAAAGCAAAGAACATTTTAGCAAAGTTAATAACTAACCCTTTATTATTATACGGCTGAGCCTGATTGACATGGACGGTCATCTAAGAAAACATTCCACTCAAACTAAAAAACAAAATGTGAAGTTTCATACCTTTCAGAATTCAGACTCTGATCAGCATAATCACTTTTCAAAGCATCTAATTCACTCTGAAGAAAAGCTATGCTTGTCTGTGCTTCTAAAAGATCTTTCTTAACTTTCTGATTTTCCTAGAGAAAAAGAACAGCGCGGGTCGTGAGATTCAGAGTTTCTTCCACCTGGGAGAAATGAAGTAAAGTGTAGTGTAACCTTCCCACACATCACCCACAGCCCTCCACAAGTCTTCATATCTTGGTTCAAAGAACTAAATATCAATTCAAAGTAATTTGAAATTATTGTAATGTATGAAAATGTCAAAAATCTAAATCCTCAAAGTTGTTCTTTTTTTACTATTTGACATCTGGTGCCAAATTATAATAGTCAAGAGTTTATCATGCTGTACCTTTAAAATGTTATTGTCAGATTAACTGAGACCAAACATTTAAACATGTTTTACTTAATGAGAGCTACAAAACTACTGATAGACATTCTGTGGAATTAACAGTGCCTACTGCCAGGTAGACCAGCTACTTTTTTACAATAAATCCTATCATATAACATTTTGAAGTTTTGCACTTAAAAATAAACCAGCGTGGTTAGGAAATTTCTATACTTTTCTATAAAAAAAGAATTCATTGGAGGCTTCGGTTCAAGATGATGGACTGAACACATGAATTTGTCTTCTTTCCCTTTTGAGGTCCCATTAACATGAAATGTCAAAGGAAAGAAACCAATAAAAGTTGAAAGAATGGAGGAGGGGCCCATCAGCAGTCAAGTGATTTAAACACATTTCTGGAAAACAGAAACTGGATGACAACGTGCTCACAAAGGGAAGAGAGAAGGAGAAAAGCAGGTCCAGAAGATGCATGTGGAAGGTTCTGCTGTAGAATAAAGGAGGAGGCAATTGGCCAGGCACAACCCTGGAGAGTGAGAATGAGAAGTGGGGCTGAAAATAGAGATTAAATTTGCATATTAAAGCACCCCGCCCCCCAAACACTCGCGCCCATACCCTCTCTTGCCCTAGCAAAGAACAGCAGACAGAGTTTATTCCAAAGGCATTGAGACAGGGCTTGTCTCTTTACAAAGAACGACTTGTAGAGAGAAAACTAAAGCTTCCCTCTGAATATCCACACCCCACTCTTTCTGGTCCCACAGCCTGACAGCCAGCTTCACACAAAGCTCCTAGGAAGACACTCTTTCAGGGGAGAGGCCTTGAAGTAAACAGATCTATTGACCCGCTGCACAGGACTCCTACACCAGCTACCTAAAATGATCAGAAACTCCCAGAGAAGATATGGGTAGCAAGTTTAAAAAACAAGCAGTCCAGTAAGAACTGAAACTTCATGGGCTCCAAAATTAACATTTTCAAGGATAAAAAACACAAAGTTCATCAAGAAGAATAAATAGGAAGCTGTAAGGTATCGGTGATATCGTGGAGATGGCAGAGTTTCTTTTTACCACAAGAAACCAAAACCTCAACCAGAAAATCCAAGAAAACGAGCAACTCTATAAGAAAGTCATGATCCACATACAAAACCAATTAAGATATGGTAAAATCTGGAACTAGTGGTACATAAAGGAGATTCATTTGACCATGAAGCTGGGAGCCCTCTCTTTTGAGTGGCACAGGGATAATGACTGGAGAGAAAGAAATGCAATTCTAGTTCATTCTAGCTCACTGCTTGGCTCCGCAGTGAGAATATTTGGTGTCATAATAAAGGAAATATCCGTTACTGGCTTTCAACTTTTAGAACCAACCTGGAAACAAAATAAAGAAAATGTAAATGTTATCCATTTTGGCAATAGAAAAACTAAAGATATGGTTCGCAGAAGAGAGAAAAGGGACAGAAAGAGGAAAGTCGGAGGAGGGACAGGGCAATAATACCTCATTTACAAAGCCAGGGATGCAGACCAGAGCTGATGTCATAAGAATGCAGGGTTAACTGCATTAACAGCCATGCCGATATTGCTCTGAATAAAAAATAAATAAAAGAATTCACAACAGATGAGGTATCATTGAGGGGAAAAGCCTGCATAAATAACACCTTTGGTCAAAGGTATTTCCAAGACTTTCTCTAACTATAGTATTAATTTCTCTGTAAGCTTCTATTCCTGGAACACTGAAAGAATAGCATGATTATACGTAGGAAACAGTAGTCTAACAGGAAATATATTTCTGTAAGTGAAGAGGTAATTCTCACCATCGATAAATCATAAATTTGTTTTTTTAACGCAGCCACATCTTCTTTTTGACTTAGGTGTTTGGATTGTTCTTCCAGCTGAAAAAGAGCAAATAAAAGTTGTGCGTTTATAAACCCACTTTGAATTGATTCTAGGAATATCCTTGAATATGGATACGGAAATTCTAGAAGTCTTTAATTTTCAACATTATATAACTTTAGAAATCATTAAACGACATATAATCTATAAGGATTTGAAAATGTGCTTTAAATAATTTAAACATTTTTGAAAAGGGGGTCTTACTGTTTAATGAATTTTCTTTGCAACAATGAAAAAGCCATTTCTGGAAACCACTCAACCCTTAAGCAATCCAATCCTCACCATTTCAGTTATGTTGCATATGAGTCTGGACCTTCATATTCACCTAGAACTTGACCCGCACTTACCACTTTCTCTCCTGTATTGTAATTACTTATGAATGTCTCACCTCTCCTACCAGAGTCAAAGATTTTTAAGAGAAGAGTTAGGGTCAGATGCACCTATGTTTTCTTCAGGGTGTTTTCAAAAAATGCTTATTAAATAACTGAAATCAACAAAATTTCAGTATGATATGAAGCTAGAGACATATGCACACAAAACTATATAAATACACAGAAGAGCTTTGCTTGGTGGTTGACTCATTGGTATTTCCAGATTAAATTGGCTCAGGAGCACCCATAGCATGGACAACAAAAAATGTCTTTCCAATAAATAGCTTACATCCCCTGGGAATGGTGGGGATTTGTGGGTTTCCATTAATTGAATATTTATGCATTGATCAAAACGTATCCTATATTTCATCAAGTCTAGTCTAAGTCAAAATCTAAGTACTTTGACACTTGACTTTCTTCATCTTGCCAGATGGCATCAACTGAAAGTTTTCACACAACTATGTCCTGACTGCCTCGTGGCTGACTGTAACTCAGAAGAGCCATTGATTTCAAGATGCATGCCAATTTCAGAGAAGAACAACTATGGGAAAAAAATCAGTTTCTCAGAATCAATAGCATAAGGTAATGGCAACTATAATAAATTTGTAAACTTTTCCATAGTTCTTTTCAGTATTTAATGTACTCTCACATAAATCATGTCTTATTCTCTTACAGAACAACCCTATCAAGCAGGCAGAAATCTGGAATAAATAAGAAAGCACCAACCATGGAGTAAGACAACTCTATCACTTATCAGCTGTGTGACTTTGAACAAGTTATTTAACCTCTCTGGAACTCAGTGCCCTCATCTGTAAAAGTAGGATATTTATATTATCGTCAGAGAAAGTTTGAGAATTAAATTTTAAACAATATAAAAAAGAGCTTACTAAACTATAAAGTCAATAAAATACCAGTTATTATGGTTAGGCAGGACAATTAATTATTAACCCCATTTTACAGATGAGAAACTAAAGATCAAAGAGATGAAGCCGATTGTCCCAGGTGTTATAGGCAGAGATTGGCACAGTCTCAATAAAGACTCAGGTCTCATCATGCCTAACTCTCACTGTTCAGTCCTGTTGGTCTTCATCATATGCTGTATCAGGACAAGAAACTCTGTGTCCTTTCTTGCATATTTTCTCTTAGTCTAAAGATTTGGGAAGACATGGAAATAAGTGAGGACACTGACTAGGAGAATCTGACTCTGGCATAAACAAGGGACTGGTCTATTCAGATTCTGTAATACAAGCATCATATGTATGGTTTAACGACCTTTGGAAATTAGACAAAAGGTTGACACTGATAATAATTTTCCAAGAAGGCTATTGGGGAAAATTCTTAATAATTCCAGAGGCTTAAATTGCAACAGCCTACAAAATACAGTTAATTGTCACTTAATCTCACTGAATATAAACACTGAAGGGAGCATTAAAGGTTATCATATGAACAAACCAGAGAAACAAAGTGACATGCCCAAATTCACAATGCCACTTTCCGGGATTTTTTTTTTTTTTTTTTTTTTTTTGGTGAGGAAGATTCGCTCTGAGCTAACATCTGTTGCCAATCCTCCTCTACTTTGTATGTGGGTCACCGCCACAACATGGTTTGACGAGTGGTGTAGGTCCATGCCAGAGATCTGAACCTGTGAACCCAGGCTGCTGAAGCGGAGTGCTCCGGATTTAACCACTACGCCAGGGGGCCAGCCCCAATAATTGTTTTTTAAGTATCCTTTTTCATTTTAACCAAGATATCTCCATTAGCGTGGAGACAATCCACATGCAAGACGTGGATCCAGTACTGTGCTGGAGAAAACCTGCACTGGCAGGTGAGAACCTATTTTAAGCATCTCTTCCCAAACTCTGCATTTAGTGATGTCAACTTGGTGGCTTGAAATCGGTCATGGTGGGAGTATTTACACCACAGAAACTGGCACATGCTATAAATCCCTCCCTCTCCCTCCTCCTGCCACCAGAGCCAGTTGTTAAACATCGACCAGCACACCACTGAGTGAAATGGACCCTACTCATCAGAAACCAAATACGGCAAAGGCCAAAACCCAATCACACCTGTGCTCACACTTCAACACGTCCTCCCCCACCTCTTGATGATCAGGGGTCCCCTAATCTGGAACTTTCTATATAGAAGAGGAATACTCATTTCATTCAATGAATATTCACTGAATACCTACCACACACCTTGCAGTAAGCTGGGGGTAGGGATATAGGGCACACACGATCAGGAAAGACGGTCACCCTACTGTCATGAGAAGACAGTCCACTGGACACGTGGGAATCGAGGGCACTTGGCTGGTGAAGACTGAGGAAAGAAACCTGGAGTTTGATGGACAACTGTTCAAGGGATCAGATACATTTATTAGGTCTACGCAAAAGACAGGTTTCCCCTGGAAACAGAGAAGGAAATCAGGCGCCCTTAAAAAAAAAGTCCTTCTAAGTATTCCAATTTGACTCTGAAATCTGATTCCACCTACTGCTCCAGCATGATTCTGAATATTTTAGTCGCTAATAGCCTAGACACACTGACATCCTGAGGCTATTCCTAAAAGTCTGGCTGCCACAAACCTACCTTTTTGAGTTTCTTTATCGTGACCTGTAGATCTCCTACTTCTGTTTCATACTGACGTCTGAGGTCACTGAGGGCTTCCTCAGCTTTGCGTTTTTCCTAAAAGAAAAAAAACCATTTTGTTGATTTAAATAGGTTCTTCAAAAACCCATAGGTGAGAAATGTTTTGTGTCAAATTAAGGCTGAAACCAAGTCTCCTCCACAGGGAGAAGGATGGTGGAAGTGAACCCGATGACTTAGATGCACAGCACTTCTGGAACTGAAACCTACAAGAGTGAACGAACTGCGGATCCACAACCTCCATCCACACATCACCTGGAAGGACACCTCTAAGACTATTACTCACATGTGATAGAGGCCTCATCACATCACATAACTAGTTTAATTAATTACTGCTGTCATTAATTAAAAGATATGGCACAGCCAAGGGCCCCAGCGCGTCCTTGAATCCTGTCACATCATCAGGACTCGGGAAGGCCTGGTGGGTTTACTGTTTCTTCCAAGAGCTTGTGCCTTATCTAAATTCAAATCATATCACCTGCAAATTTCTATGCCAACTGCCTCCCCATAGGCTGGTACTTCTCAAAGGTGTCCTCCCTGGAGCAGAGAAGGGCAAAAGGGCCCCCCAGGAGGTCAGAGGCTGAAGCTCCCATGAGCCCGAACATCTTCAAGTTTCCTTTTCCTCTTAACAAATTAGGGAATTTTACATCCTATGTTCAGTATTCAAATAAAGTTTTCTGTTCATAACTGGTGAAACTGAGTGTACGAGTATCTGCTGACAGCCTGCTATATATCAAGCATGGCTCTAGGCACAGGGGAACAGAGCAGGAGCAGTGCAGACAAACAGATGCTCTCGTGCATCCTGGTGGTGGGCACAGAAAACAGAGGTGATTGCAGGAAGTGACACTAAGAAGACAAAACAGGGAGATGTGACAGGAAGCGAGTTAGACGGGGGTAGGCAGTTCCTCTCTGCAGAGGTGGCATGACCCACATCTGAACACCTGCCTGCATTAGAGTCTTCCTGCCCACTGACTGACTGCCCAGCGGGGACAACTGACTTAACTCCTTGGTGCCTCCATTTCCTTAATGGAGTATTGTGAGGATTACATTAAATTATCTAAGTAAATTAAATAATCCACATAAATTAGATACTCCATGTAAATTAAATAATCTATGCTTAGAGAAAATGCTTAGGAGGAGAGCAGCATTTCACTCATGGTAACCTTTTTACAAGCGAGTATCTTGACTTCCTCCAGCTTTACAGGTGAGGAGGCATCGAGTGTTGCCCCCTTCGCAGGTGGATCAAGACAGTGAGGCCTCACATGAGGTGTTAGTGTGGGCAGCCCTCCTGGCATCAAAACGGACTTGGATGCCATTCAGCAACTCGCTTCACTAAATCCATGGCCACAACCCCAAACATAACAACTTTTCTGGTTTAAAAATATTTTATTCAGAGCTCAATAAAGGAAATTATCACTATCTAGCTTATTCCATTCCCAACCTGCAACAGGTAGACGCCAGGAGATCAGACAGGAGGTCATCACAGCAATGTGGGTGCGAAAGGGTGGTTCAGACCAACTCATCACTAACTTCCCGAACACTGAGATGGAGAGAACACTTCCCAACTCCTTCTCTGAGACCAGCACTCGCCTGACACAAAACCCAAAGACATTAAAAGAAAACTATAAGCCAGTATCATTAATGAGCATGGATGCAAAAATGATAAACAAAATTTAACAAGTGAATTCAACAATACATAAAAAGAATACTATGTCATTACCAAGTCAGGTTTATCCCAAGAGTGCAAGTTTGTTTTGACACTCAAAACTCAATCAATGTATTTCAACATATTAATATTCTAAAAAAGAAAAAAAAACACATGATCATTTCAATAGACAGAAAAAGCATTTGACAAAATCCAACATCCATTTCTTATGAAAACAACAACAAGTCTCAACAAACGAGGAACAGAGGAACATGCTCAATTTAATAAAGGGCGTCCACGAACAACATGCCACTAACACCACACTTCATGTAGACAAGGATGCCTGCTCTCATTCTCATGCCTGCTTTCCTTCTTCTAATCGTACAATAAAGAAAGAAAAATAAATAAAATTATCATCAGATCAGAAAGAGAAGTAAAACTGTCTTTATTCATAGATCCACAACCATCTACATAGAAAATCTGATGGAATCTACCCAAAAAGCTTCTGAGTGCAAACAATGTAAACAATGCTACAAGGTAAAAGACCAATATACAAAAACCACATGTTTCTATATATTCACAACGAACAATCAGAAAGTGAAATTTTTAATAACACTGTTTGGAGTAGCCTTAAAATATCAAATACTTAGGAATAAATCTGAGAAAAGATATATAAGATCTATATATTGAATTATATAAAATATTGCTAAGAGAAATTAAAGAAGACCTAAATAAATGGAGAATACATCACATTTGTGGATCGGAGTATTCAACATTATTAAGATGCCAATTCTCCCCAAAGTGATCTACAGATGCAAAGAAGTCCAGTCAAACTTCCAGCAAGTGTGTGTGTGTGTGTGTGTGTGTGTGTGTGTAATTTTTTGTTTTTTTAGAAATTGACAAGCTGATTTTATGGAACTTAAAGGACCTAAAATAGCCAAGACAACTTTGAAGAAGAATAAAGTTGAAGAACTAATACTAGTTGCTTTCAAGACTTACTATAAAGCAACAGTCATCAAGACAATGTAATACTGGCATAAAGACAGACAAATCAATCAACTGACCAGAATGGAGAGCCTAGAAATAAACCTACACAAATACAGTAAGCTGATTTTGGACAGAGTGCAGAGGCAATTCAGTGGAGAACAGGTAAGTCTTTTCAACAAACAGTGTTAGAACAATTGGATATCACATGCAAAAAAATATGAACTGTGATCCCTACCTTGCAAAATCGATCCTAGTAAAATGGATCCTAAATGTAAAACCTAAAACAGTAAAACTTATAGAAGAAAACAAAGGAGAAAATCTTTGTGACCTTGAGTTAAGCAAAGATTTCTTAAATACCAAAAGCATGATTTATGAAAGAAAAAACTGACAAATTGGACTTCATTAAAATAAATTTCTACACTTCAAAAGACATTGTTAGGAGAACGAAAAGACAAGTCACAGTCTGAGAGAAAATTTTATAGATCAGAACATATAAAGAACTCTCGACACTCAACAATAAGAAAACAGACAACCTAATTTTAAAAATGAGCAAAAGAGTTTAATAGAGACTTCACCAAAGAAGATATACAACGGTTACCTGACAGGGAGGGGCAAAGAAGAAGGGCATAACAAAAGGGAGTGAGGAAACTTATACTCATTCCCTTGATTGTGGTGATGGCCTCATGGTATACACATATATCCAATCTTACCACATTCTACACTTTAGATATGTGCATTTTCTTGCATGCCAATTATACCTCAACAAAGCTGTTACAATATATTACAAAAACCTAACTGATACAATGGAATATACCCTATATGTGTCACAAGACTCAAGTGAGGAAGAGGTGAATATGGCTAGAGGACTAGGGAAGGGCATCAAGGAGAAAGGGAGACTTTCTCTGAGCTTTGATGAACTTCGGAAAGTGGAAAGGAGTGGGGCAACAGTTATTAAGGCAAAGAAGACAGCTGGGGAGAAAGCAGAGCAGTGAGCCAGGCCAGAGCTGCAAGGTGAAGAACTATGGGGAGCCGAGGTGAGTCATGCTTACTGCAGGGAAGTTAGGGAAAATCTTCAATTAGCCTGGATGTCTGGTTCCAGAGAGACAATGTTTAGAAGGGTGTGAGCTGGAGACAAGGATGGACTGGCAAACAGGTGTCATCCCAGTGCCAAAGCTGCTCACTCGGCAGTGGTGTGCTGAGGTCTCAGAGACCACATCTGCGCAGCGACTGACTAGCCACGGATGCCCTCGCTGTGGAATACAGAAATGATGCTGTGGATGCCACACATTGGCCACCCTTGTACTGGACGCAAGAGGGTATCATTAACAAAACATGAAGGTGTAAAGTCTTCATTACCAGTAACAAATTTGGGAAGTACTTAGCTGGAAGAAGCAATGAGATTTGACGACAGCATAATACACGTGCTTGGTAAGTGTTTGATGAATGAAGGAGTGCACAGATTAAATGGATGGAGAGAAAAAAAGGCAGAAAAAGTACGACTTTACTGTTTCTAGACTACAAAAAATAAAGTGCGAGCAGAAGAACGGGATAGCCATTGCATTAAGACTAGACCATGGACTTGGAACCATTCACTCTGTGGAATGTGACATCCAAACAGTTATTCAACTTATTAAGAGATAAGACAACAAAGAGACCCGAAGCCACATATGTGGTAAAACCGTTTAAGGTGAAGAATCTGAAAAGACACCAAGTACACAGAGCAACAGAAAAGAGCAGGACGGCACAGCCACGGTGCAGCCCCCATGCCTCAGGCCCTGCACTAGGCACTCCATGCAGATCATCCGTTAAAGCAGGTAGGTGGCGTTATCCCATTCAAAGGCTTAGAGGGGAGGTTGCTTTCCCACTACTGCCACCCAACCCAGACAAGGGCAGAGCCAGGAGGCAAACTAAGGGCTATGGGATGCCTACACCCAGGCTCTTCTCGCTCCACCGTGCTGCCTCTCAGAGTCAACAGGGCAAACGAATAGAAAAAAAATGGAATGTTCATCCTAACATGAGCTACTCAAAAAGTACGTCTATTTTCTGTTTTCACTAAACATTAATCACCCAAAAATATTTTATAAGGAAAAAGATAATTATTCTTCTATGGAAATCACTGAAGGTAGCATCCAACTTTCAACTCTAAGAGTTCCTATAATGATGAATAAAATATATTCTACTATAAAACCAACATTTGCAGAGAGAATTTCAATTCCACTGTAATCTAGATTTCAGGTTGGCATCGAGACAGCGGTATGTAAAAGTCGAGCCACTCTCCTCTCCCTCAGGCCTCAGCTCTCATGTCACCTCCACAGAGAGGCCCCTGACCTTCCAACCTGAAGCAGCTCCTCGCCCAGTCGCTGTCCATCACACACACTGTTTCTTCATGGCACTTGTCACTATTTGAAATTATCCGCTTTATTTATTTGATTACTTGTTTATCATCTCTCTCCCCTAACCCTACGCCTCAAAAACCACCACCACTAAACATGCCTTAGTTGACAGTCCTTGCGGGAGCCTGGCCTTGCTGCACCCAGAGGACGGCCAGTGCCCAGCCCATAAATGGTGCTCCATAAGGATTCGTCGCGACAGGGCCAATCCCACAAACTCACATCTTTTCGCGTCTTGTGTTCTGCAGCCTGAATCCTCTGATCCATTTCCTCTTCCATCTCACTCAACTGAATGGCTGCCTTGTCCTGGGCTCTGAAATTCAAGAGGACGCACACCTTTTCATTATACTCTTGGACTTGTAACAGGAAGAGAAAACTTCGACCTCATCTATTTCAAGCCCTCTATTTTACAGATGAGGAGAAACACACCATTTAAAATAATATTCCCCGTTCCTTTCACATAATAAAATGAGATTGGCAATTTGACCATTCGGGTGTAAAAGGACATTAAGACAAGATATTAAATAAATGGAGTAGATTAGGTAAAATTGTATTAAACTAGATTGTGGCCAAGAAAAGATAAAGATACCAAATTGTTGAGAGGCTCTCAATAAATTCTGAAAATCCTTTTTGCTGCCATGACTGAGCCACAACCTTAAACAGAAAAAAAAAGGAATTCCATGGCAAAGAGATGGCTAGACATAATTTTGAAACTGTATTATACGAAACGCGCAATGTTATATGCTATGGTTAGAAGGAAAAAAAAATAAGGCATGTCAACAATTATTTCTAACCAGTTCCCAAAAGTTCTAGAATGTAGACCTGGTTAACCCCTAGAAAAATTCTCTTTCTTTTACTAATATAATCAATAAATCACATCTACGGAGGCAGAGCATATTGATTTGCCAGAAAGTTAAAAATAGGAAAATTGCGTTGAGAAGAGTTCCAGGATCATTTTATTTAGCGATTGTCTAGTATGGAGCTATCTGTCCCTTCACAGGGGATGAGGCTTCTGATTAAACCCTAAAAACTTATTTTCTGTTCTCTCTCAGCTATATGTCTAATTATCTGAATTTGCACATGCATATGTCTTGCCTCCTCAACTAGATTATAAGTGACCTGAAAGCAGACACTATGAAATTTAGAGTCAATTCACCCAACCACTGACATGCTGGTAACAAGGAGAGAACAAGACCTAAATACAAGACCTCCTGTTTTCCACTTTTTTTTTTTTTTTTTTTTTTTAAAGATTTTATTTATTTTATTTTTTCCCCCCAAAGCCCCAGTGGGTAGTTGTATGTCGTAGCTGCGCATCCTTCTAGTTGCTGTATGTGGGACTCGGCCTCAGGATGAACGGAGAAGTGGTGCCTCGATGCGCACCCGGGATCCGAACCCGGGCCACCAGCATCGCAGTGCGTGCACTTAACCACCAAGCCACAGGGCCGGCCCCTGTTTTCCACTTTGATGGGCTTCCGCTACACCGTCCCACCTGCTATCAACTTATTTGCTCCCTCGAAACACAACTGCTCTGGCATCAGTTTAATTTCTACATAGTGCGCCAAACAAACATTGAGGGGTGGGGGGAAGACCCCAAAGTAAAATTTTGAGTGATCTACTACAATTTTCTGCTCTTGTTTACTTTGTCTTCACCTTATGGCCTGCCCAAGGTTATGTTAAACCAAGTTTGGAAAGTCAGCTAATTCTACTTTGTTTGTAAATACTTGCTATTTAAAGTCTAAGAATTATGTATCTCCAGAGTAACTTTGTTTTGATTTTTTTTTTTTTTTGGTCAACTCTGGAATTGTAATTAGCTTAGCCACATATCCTTTCTCCCTTTGTTATGACCACTTTTTCCAGCCATTCCTTCGAGACACCCACTCCCAAACACTTGGGCTTCTGGGACTGCTCCTGAGTGTGTTCCTCTTGCCTTTCTCACTTCTGAGCAACTTTGGATTTTTTTGGTAAATCAGGGTAGTCTATAACAACACTGTGTTTGCCCCAGCAATTCCTAATTGCTAGGAAAATGTCTGGTGCATTGGGAATGTCCACTGTAACCTAGTCCAGGGCTCCTACCAGGACACTGGGAACCCAATCTTCAGTTCCAAGTGCAGAGCACAAAGCGCAGAGACCCTCCCCCAATCAAAAATAGAGGTGAAGACGGATGGTCCTTACCTAAGAAAGTACGGGAATGTTCATAGTAGTCATTTAAACGATGCAGCCAGGTCTCTGATGGCCCAGGCTCAGGACACAGCCTGACTTTGGATCCCACCCAGAGAGCACAGACGGGACGAGAAGAGAAGCACTAACGGCTCAACATAATGTGACGCACTCACTCCACAGTGGGAGAGCAGCCCCACTGGTCACAAGAACATAAAGAACACCATTCTTTTCTTCCCTTCTGGGATTACATGGTACTATCCTTAGAGGTCATGTATGGGTGTGTGTATGTGTCCCTCACATCTTTGTGTGGGTCTGTGTATGTGTACGTGTGTGTGTACATGGGAGTCTGTTTTAACGGATATTTACTGGACACTCTGAAGACTCAATATGCACGTCTGCTAGTCACCCCTCAGGGGAAGCCAACTCTGGGGCTCTGATCCATACTCCACAATGCTCTACAGAATTTGGAGTTCTGAGGGCCACTCTATTATCCTATTGAAAGCCCCTACCAGTCAAACTTGAGGGAAAAGATCGCAGTCAGGAACTGAAAATGTCCATAAGAAACCCCTCGTGAAGAGTTCAACTCTTGCATTACTCTAGGACTATTAAAAAAAAAAAAGTCCTATTTAGCATCACTATTTTAAAACATTTTCTCTTCTACGTTTATTTCCCTTCAGTTACTCCAAAGGGTCAACTAGATAGTTTCATCAATACTGAAGGAAAGAACAAAGAGACAGAGGAGCAGCCCTTGCCTGCCCCCAGGCAGACAGGGGGCATCCTACAAAGGGGCCGTTTACAAGTTATAGGTAGAGACCAGCGGGGTGTGCAGCACGCTCAGAGCTGCTGGTGGAGCACGTGGCAGTGAGAAGCATCCATGGGGCAGAACACCCAGGAATTGTGACAAACTGCCCTCTTTCCCAATATATGCCAAAGGACTGTGATCCGCCCAGGGAGTAAAGAGGCTGGTACTTGGATTGCAACACATAATTCTTCTTTGGTACTGGGCTGCTGTTAAAACCAGTAAATATCCCATGTAAGCCTGCTCTGGCTTGTCACAAACTGTCTGTGTGACAGGAAGGGCTTAACAGCTGTTAGGCTTTCAGTTCCGGCTGGGTGAGGCAGCCCAGAGAGAAGGAAAGCAGCACCACCGAGCACCCGCCACGTGGTGGGCCCAGGGCGAGGGGCTTCACCCATGACGTCATCTATTAAGTCTCAACACCCTGAGGATATAAATGTTTACAGCCTCACTTTGCAGATGCAGAAGTTGAGTCTCTGGGAGATTAAGTAACCTGCCCAAAGTCACACGCCTGTCAGTGACAAGGCCAGGCTTCAAATGGAGCCCTGTCTGCCTCTCTGGATGAAAAGTCTCCCTTATGTTTCAAGTGGCTACATAGAAGATAACAAATCTCTTTGAACTGTTCTGTATGGAAGCATTGGCCTTGAAGAGTTTATATGATAGGATCACAGTGACCTGCTGATGGATTGCTGGCTGACCCCATGAAGTACTGCCTGACTCAACTTAACCTCATGCTGGCTTAATTTAGAAAGCTCCAGACTCCTGAGGATCAGGAAGTCCTCCCATAGTATAATGTGACAGTGCAGTTCAGTCCATGTGCACCGGGGTCAGAGAGCCGGTTAAAGGATCCCACGAAAGGAAGGACTTCAATACCTCTTCACTGCAATGGCCAGGTTTTCCATTTCTGTGCTTTGAAGTCTGATCTCACGAATGAAGTTCTTTATAACGTGTTCGTATGGCTGAATCAGTCTGGGCTCCACAAGGTTGATGTTTTGATACAAGGTACTAACTTGTTCTTTCCTGCCAAAAAGAATAATAATAATTAAATTAAATTAAATCAAGTAAAAAAACAAAAAGGCAAATTTTCAGAATACTTTTAGGAAAGAGACCCATAAGTAAAGAACCAAGGAAGAAAAAAGTAGCAATAATAGAATGGCCAGAATGGAGGGAAGACAGCAGTCAGAGAGATCCTATTGCATTATTCTCCATATTATTTTTTTTACAATAGAATAGCAACTTTATTTTTTTTTTCAGCTTTATTGGGGTATGACTGATAAAAATCGTATATATTTAGGTTGTACAATGTGATTTTTATAAGGTGTAAATGTGATGATTTAATATTAGAAGATGTTGGCCCAGGAGGGCAGTGGAAACACATAAGGAGGGATTCATAGGGAAAGATTTTTTCTTTGTCACTGCTGTGTTTCTTTCTTTCTTTTTTTGGGGGGGCGGGGGGAGGAAGATCAGCCCTGAGCTAACATCCATGCCAATCCTCCTCTTTTTGCTGAGGAAGACTGGCCCTGGGCTAACATCTGTGCCTATCTTCCTCCACTTTATATGGGATGCTGCCACAGCATGGCCTGACAAGAGGTGCGTTGGTGTGCACCCAGGATCCGAACCGGGCCACCAGCAGCAGAGCGTGCGCACTTAACTGCTACGCCACAGGGCCGGCCCCTCTTTTTTGCTTTTATAGAAAGGTAAATAGATTTACAGAAAAAAAGTTAACTAACATTAAACCAATTACTTAATTCTATATTCCATCATTCCCTAATAAGGATGTTATTTCAGCTTTTATGATCATAAGAGTACATACCTACTATTTTACAGTCAAAAATTACTTCATATAAATTTATATCTTTGCAAGTATTTATATGTGACAATCCTCAGACTTGTTATTTAATGATTTTATTAAAAGACAAATATTTCAGAGTCATCTCAAAAGAAAAACTGATAAGACTGGTAGCTGGCTAATGGTGCCCTTGACTCAAGTTCAGGAGCTGGTGTGCTAAACGGAATCTGGCACGATCTCTGAAGAGTGTGCCTGGAGAACTCATCCGCCATCACTGCACACTGCTGTGTGTGGGATGTAACAACCATGTGACTCCCCCGCCGCGTCCAAAGCTTCCCTAGGTCGACGGGCCACAAACTGTCCTCCCTGGACAGCTTACTCCATCAGAGCCCGTGCAATCTGGTCTTCCTTCCTCTGACCCTAGGGGCAGCCTTGCTAAGAGTTAACACAAGCTGTGACTGTGTTGTGACCGTAGCAGTACTTTTTAAAACAGAGAGCATTATGCCAGTTGAAAGAAGAAATGCCAGGAATTTAGATAACAGGCACTTATTTGGGCCTGAGATGCTAACTCACCATAATATCAGCATTATATAATTCTATCAAGTCTCACCAAGTCTAGAAGTGTTTGGTATAACTAACAATCACAGGAAAGCTAACTGCTTTCACATGCTACATTACTTAAAAATCATCCATAGTGTCTGGATAATTCAGTGATCTACTATTATGATTTTATAGTTACTCCCCTGACAATGTGAAAAGCCCTTCTGTCTTCTGCCCTATGTCTTCTGACATAGAGAGATTGCTCTTCTTCCGGTGCTTCTTGAGCTCTGGTAAAAACATTTGGGCAGGTCACTCACTACAGGAACCAAGACGTCTGTGTCTCACAGCCTTCTATGGTGCCTACTGACACCAGAGGGACAGCCAATGAAGACTACTCAGAAATCCTAGCACAAAATTCATACCCATCCACTCGATCAACAACCCCTGGGCTTCTGCCCTGTTACCCTCTTGAAAGCAGCCTCTTACAATACTAGAAGTACACGAGAAAGGCTACGATAATCCCAGGCCTCAATAATTGAAAGGCTATGCATACAGCCATCTCCCAATTGGGATAGATGACATAGCTAGATATAATAAGATTTATGATTCTAATAAAAATAGTTCTATTTAGTGAGTGCTCACTATGCATCAGGTATTATGCTAAGCAATTTGTATGCATCATATCTTTGAATACCCTCAACAATGCTATAAAGCACTTTTATTAATCCATTTTGCAGATCAGCCAGGGGCCTGTTATGGGCCGAACTGTATCCCTCAAAATTTGTATGTTGAAATCCTAACCCCTAGTACCTCAGAATGTGACTGTATTTGGAGATGGGGTTTTTAAAGAGGTAATTAAGTCAAAATGAGGTCATTAGGGAGGGCCTTAATCCAATAGGATTAGCATCCTTATAAGAAGAGGAAATTTGGACACAGACATGCACAGGGGGTGGACCATGTGAAGGTACAGGAAGGCGGCCATCTACAACCCAAGGAGGAGGCCTGAGAAGAAACCAATCTTAGTGATACCTTGATCTGACTTCTAGCCTCCAGAATTACGAGAAGATAAATTTCTGTTGTTTAAACCACCCAGTCTGGTACTCGTTACCACAAATACCTAGGTCACCATAGCAAATAAATACAGTGCCAAAGGTCACACAGCGACTGAGCGGCAGAGCTGGGATTCCACCTCAGCCTGATGCTGGAGACCACGTGATCAACCATTACATTATATTACTTCTCAGGTGTGTTAAACAGCTGAACCTTGGCAGAAGAAATGGGATTCAAAATCAATCCGTAGAACTATGAAATACTGCAAAACGTGAGGTTTATATTAACCCGGAAGCTTGGTTAAGCATGGCCCCAAGGTGTGTCCATGTGGCTGTAAACTCTCCCAGGTTTGCTCTCATAAATAAATTGCTCGATCTTTGCAGAGGCCAATTATGATTCAAATAACTGCTCAAGTGAAATATTAATAAACCTGTAGAAGTCAGTCACTTTATTTGATGATATAAGACACAGGAACGGTCATCATCCTTCCCATCAGAACTGAGTACAAATACTGGTTGCAGGAGTGTGCCACATTTATAACAGAGCAGGGTTAAAAAAACAAACCTCTACTCTTAGCTTGTCCCATGTAATTCCAATGCACAACAGGATCATTAACATCTTTGCCTTTTGTCATTTACTTGACCACCAGCAGGATACGAAGCATAAAAACTTTCTCGTTAATAGGAACCTGCCTGTCAGGGATGGCCAGTAAGACACTGTCACCTTGAGTCCTTGTTTATTGGGTAACTGCATAACAAGAAAATGTTCACAAGTGGATGTCTCAGTAGATTCCCTGACTTGCTGCAAATTTCTAAAATAAGAAACATAATGATTTGGAAATTCTCTTGTGTCCTTGGCTGGTCCTGGCATTATACGGAATTTTAGGAATAGTTTATAGTGAAGGGTACACATAGATTAATTACAGAAAATGTCGTAATTGTTGTGCCACTACCTGGATATGCACCTATCCTGCCTCATTACGGGGCACACAGGAAGACCTGACTTCCCAGAACCCAGGCAGGCAGGTTGGAGCCATGTGACCAGTTCTGGCCAATGGAATGGGAGCAGAAATGATGTGTCCGCCACTTCCATGCTTGACCTCTAAAATCTGTAAGGTCTTCAGCTTGTATTCATTCTCATTCAGTCTCTCTCTCTCCCCTCTCCTTCTCTGCCGCCTCCTTCTTGCTTCCTCACCCTCAACAGCTGAAGTGAAGAGCTCCACCACGGCAAAGCCACAGGAAGAGACATGCCTGGATCCCTGAATGACCAGAGGGAAGGAAACTGCCCAGGAGGGCTGCCTGACCACATCAACCTGCCCGACACAGGAGAAAGATGTAAGTTTGTATTTTGTAAAGCCATTTTGTAAGACTTGGAAGTTCTTTGTTACAGTCAGCTTGAGCTTAAAAAGTTGCCATCATAGCTTCTTATTCGTTTTTTTTTTTATCAACCTCTCCCAGATTAAATTACATCCTCACCTCCTTCCTTGATGGCTTCATATTAACTAAGTAATAAAACTTCTATGACTAGGGTCAGTCTTTACCACCACCACCCCCTGTCTTCCAAGGAAACGAGAGACTATTCTGAAGCATTTCCATACTGAAGCAGACATTCATTAAGCACTGACACATGCAGTCCCGGCAGTGACTCCAACATTTACATGTAGTGTCCACTTAATCCTCAGGACAGCTCCAGGAAGAAGTTATTACTGGGATCCTATGTACCACAGAGGAACCTGAGGCAGACGGAGGTAAGCACCATTAGGTAGCAGAGCCAGAATTCTAACTCAGCCCTTCTGGCTGCAGAGCCCAGCTCTCCATGGAGGGACTAGCCCTTCACACCAAAAGTAAGCGCTGAAGTGGTTTTTCAGGGGTCCCAAGTGCATACCTTCATTTAGGAAATTTGATGTACCAGGATTTTTAAAAAATTACTTTGGAGGATGATATGTATTATTGCTACAAGGATTGTTCATATTACAAAGGGACTCCTTTAAAGAATGAAGGCATGACTAAGATTAAAATGAAATAACTTTATAAAATGCTATTTACCTAAAGCTATTTTGGGGGAAAGCATCATTGCAGACAGTGAGACACACTCCCACCTTCTCCCTGCCCCCATCTGCCTGTGTGCTTCATGTGGTTTGTATCGGTGAAAGCAGAGAACCATCCAGATTATGCCAAGAGATGGCAACATAACGCACTGGATTTTGACACCTGATGGAAAAAACACAAAACCAAAACATACTTTATCGTAACAAGAGAGCACACCTGGTCCCTCTATGTAAGATTTAAATGCCCTGCCTTGCACAGGCAGCTAAACACCTGCAGATTCTTCAGCTCAACAGACTTGGTGCCAAGACAAACTTCTGTTCCACTGTTGAGAGTGCAGTAGTGACTGGCCTCCCCCGGTGTCCTCGCTCCTGATGTCAAAGCTTCAACAAGCAGAGGCTGCACAGTGCTCACACAGCCCTGTTTTCTGACCCGGTGTGGCGCATGTGAGTGCTGAGAAGGTGCCTGCTAGTGACAATGGTTGAAGCACTCTTAATTCATTAATCCCAGGGCCTCATCTAAGGCAGTTAACACTTGGATTCACAAATACCATGTAGATCTGTTTACAGGTGTACTTGACAAAGACCAGGTAAAGG